AGTCGAAACGTCGCGATCTACATCTCAAGTGACTACATCGTGAGACAAACGATAATACACTTTATTATATTTCATTCCGTTTTAAACTGGGTCTCGATATACTTCACTGAGTACAACTTATTAGTTATCTATCGATCCATCGATTGCATTGACAGCCTTTGACCGAGGCGATGCCAAAAATCGTGTGCGAGGGCTTTACGCTTGCACATGTAGGGTAGGGATTTAAACTGCAGTTGTTTTCTGTTGGAAATAATTTACTTTTCTCAGCAAATGAGTTGTTTTAGTTAATGCTGAAAATCTCTCAATTTGCCCAGTAAATAACTTGTTTTACTGGCCATGTTTCTGTCCGGCATGGATATCACGAGTTGGCTTAAAAAGCCGTTTGATTTGAAATATTTTCCTTTTGATTTGAAATATCAGCCCTGCAAGTACATATGTAGGCTCGATTACCAGACGCTGTTAATGGATAACGCCATACACTGGCACTTTTAAGCATAACTCTGAATGTTCAAACATTCAGAGTTATGCTTGGGGTTGTGGTATCATTACTAAGAGTTACTTAGAGTCGCAAGGACGAGAAATATGTTGAGCAAGAGTGGTCCCAAGACACTGCCTTGAGGAACACTACAATGCATGGATAGTCAGACAGAAAGAAAACTATTTACTCTCACTCTTTAGCTTTCGATCCGACAAATAAGAATGCAAGAACTTCGTTGCTTCACCACTGACGCCGTAGGCACGTCGTGTGGATGGAGAGTAATTATGACTTCATTATCATTCCTTATAGCGCCCAGTTAGGCATAGGGCTGTAGAGTAATTATGACATATCGAGTCAAATCCCCTGGATAAATCAATTGCAACTAGAGCCTGTCACCTTTTAAAGCCAAGCACCAATCATCTATCGTTTTAGCAAGTGCAGTACTGCATTTGCGTCCACTCAAGAACCCAGTCATATTTAATTTTTTTTTAAAGAAGCTACGTTACTGATTGGGCGTCTTGAAAAGTTAGCCCAGATTTTTCAAGTTTGCAATTTGCAATTCGTGTTAATCCTCTCTGTCCTTAAACACCCTTGTTCCTTTATGCTTTATTATTATCTCTTCGGTGTTTTCTACCTGCGTAAATTCAGGCTACTATTTTCAGGCTACTATTTTCATTTTTCCTAATTTTGAATGCGGTTAAAATAACACAAACTAATGTGACTGAGCCCCTTTAAAGAAAACAAAGGTTAAAAGGCGTGAAGACTTTGTAGTTAGACACTGGATGAATCTTCTTTTTCTTCTTTTTCTTTAAAATCCGTTGGCTTCTTCGTATTTTTTACATTGTCTATTATTATTTTTACTGTTCGTCTGGTTGATTATCAGGGATGGGTCAGTTTCTTTTTAAGGTTGGTGATGGGTAGGGGTGCTTAACAATTTTCTGGGGGATGAATTTTTTTCCCCTTTTAGCAGGTTGTGCTGAGTTACTTTGGTGGGCAATGCAATAACTTGTGAAAGAATTATTTTTAAGTCTAAAGAAGGACCTGTATAATAACACGCACTTGCTCGATTTTTTTCCACACGACTCCCCTTACACGAATTTTTTTAAGCAGTTTTTGATGTGCGGTTTTTTTTCTTGGCTGGGGGCGGGCCGGAATTTCCCAACCCTTATCACCTCCGTCAAAAAATAATGGCTCGCCACTTATTGATGTTATAGAGGCTATGGTTTGTTTTTGGAGGCTACCGTTGTTTATAGGATGTATAATTAATCTCTTCAGAAGATCATTATGGAAGGATCGCAGATGATGTCCAACTTCTCTGTCAGTAACGAGTCTGCTCTCCTCAACGCCACAGAAAAGAAACCTGCAGTCTACGTGTTCACACCAACAGGCTTCACCACTAAACTCGCTCTTCTCTTAGTTTTTGCGTCTGTTGGTGCGGTAGGATTTGTAGGCAACGTTCTAATTTATTACTTTATATCTTTTAAGAAAAATGTCGTCTCTTATATGCAGTACACTCCATTTCTGCGAAATTTCAACTTTTACATCAAGAGCTTAGCTCTGTCAGATATACTGTGTAATATAATTTCACTTCCCTTGATATGTATTCAGATTATGGTCGACGTGTACCAACATGGCTGGGCATGCAGAATTGTTCGATTTATCGGCATACTACTACCTTCAATAACAATGAATAATTTAATCGTAATAAGTGTGGAGAGGTATTTGTCAACTCGTGCCGTTCCCCGCTCGTTCAGTGTCTCTATTGTTCGTAAGCTTGTTTTTATCGCATGGCTTGTAGGTTTTATTGTCGTTTTAGGGCCAACAGCAACGATCAACGGAATAAGATATGATCTTAACGATACACATTATACAGTAATTTGTAAATACGATAAGAGTTATCTGCCTTTTAGAATAATAATCGTATGTTATGCCTTAGTACAGCACCTTATACCGGGTGTTATTTTAAGTTATCTTAATATTTCCGTTGCCAAGACCTTATGGACAAGACAAAGAAAAAGAATAGATATTCAGAGGAACAACGCCATCAGGGCCAACTTGATAGCAACTAAACTCCGTGGAACATATCTTCTTATCGCTATGACGTTTGCTTTCATCATTCCATATTCAGCGTTACTTTATTATGCAGTCTATGTTATGTTGGCTAAGCGTTCTCTTGATTTTAAAACAGATTTTATAACAAGGTATCTTAGCGTTGGGCTGCTTTATTCAAACGGTGCGATTAATTTTATCATATACATGGTACAGATGACGGATTTCCGAGCCTTCTTAAAGAAGCTGTTTTGTGGTAACGGTAATCCTATAAATCCTGATCCACCCGGCGACGGGATTCAACTGAGAGCACTTATAATCCCAAACAATCCTTGACTTTATAAGAGCTATATGACCCCTTGGGAACTTCCATGCGAAAGTGAAGGAGGTTATTGTTGAAAGTGACTACGAGAATGTACCAGGATCTCTTTTTGTAGGCGTGGTCGTATCAACATTAAATAAGAGATAACAATTTGTAAATACTCTTTTTTCCGACCATCGTAGCTTAACAAGAAATAACACGCAAACTGAACGTAAACATAACTGGTACTTTAACAGTTCCTAAGAACAATAAATATAGTTGCTTGCAATGATTTTTTTAATTTGAGTGAATTAATTGCAACCCCAGTCACTTTCCCTTGGGATGCACCTACTTCTCGTCTCTTACATGTAAAGTACCATAATATTCTGGTGATTCCTAGGCTCAGTCTCCAGCCATGGGTGTTTCGGTGCGCCCGCGATCCTCTCCACCTGGAGACTGAGCCTAGGTTATCCCCTAAAGCCAAACAAAACTAATTTTCCAAAATGTCACACGCGATAGCCTGATATATACCGACGTAAGTGCCAAACAGAATAAAATAAACTGGTACCAATTTTAAAACACTTTTGTACAGAGGGTTGAGTCAAAATAAGTTATGCCATCAATTCGTCACTCACACAATGTGCAATAGGCCATTTCCGAGTTACCTTGTGCCTCTGTTTCAAAACGAGTCTACGTGCAAAACCTTTCATATGAAAATGAGTGTGATTTGTATGAAAATGAACCTGTAGGCGGAACACATTTTCATATGAATGGTTTCGCACGGAGACTCCTTTTGATACCCAGGGACAAGATAACCTGGGAAATGGGCTACCGGTGTTTGCAGTTGTGGGCTCATGCGTTACCTGGCCTATGAACGCAAGTGAGGCTGAAGGTCCACACTAAGCCGGGGAAAAACAGATCGGAGGTTTCACTCTGAAAAAAGTATCACGTGTTTTCTGTCCATACTAAACCGGATAAATTTGAAAACACAACAATCACCGGTCATTTTGGAGTTTTCCGTTCACACTGAAACGCAAAGCCGGCGTTTTCAATTACAGTACCTCTCTAGTGTGGGACGGTAGGGCTAACCGTAGAAATACAGCTCCGTTTTCAAATTTCTCCGCCATAGCGTGGAAGCTGAGTAAATCGTACTCTCGCTCTCGCTACTTGGTGTTACGCACGAGCGACTTCTCAAGGAAACAAATACAGTCGAACCTCGAACCCGGCTTTAGCCTAGCGTACATACCTGGGACATAACCGCCTGCACGGCCTGGGACACCGTTACGGCATATGTGAACATTTATCGCCGAATCATAATCTGTCCCAGGCATTGACCGTCGGGTTGCCCGCGAAGTTGAGCCGAGATCAACTTCGCAGCCAAGCCAGCGGTTGTCGGCGATGAAAATATTTTACGTGACCATCATCTGCGGACGCAATGTACTCCAATAAGACGATTCGATCCATATTATCAGGTGAAATAGTTGAAAATTGCGCCAATTCGATTTGCGCAAATTTGAGTGCGTCGGCGATCCATCGCAGAGGCGTCGGGGACCCACTAGAACAGATCGCCGAACGTTGTCACTTGCAACCGGCGACTCGGTCACCCCAAAACGCACACCATGCAGACTGCAGACCGAGCAGGCCATGCAGACCGTGAAGACCGTGCAGACTGAGTACTTTTTTTCTAACACCTCACCCACATTTTTTCGGTTCTAGTTACAAAATAGTGTTCAATATATCTGAATGTTTGTTAATTATCCACAGGCTGCACAAACTCACGATCTGACTGTTGATTCCATACACGAACACGTTTAGTAGACTTTTTATCGGAAATTCTCTTTAGTCTTAAATATACTAAAATAAAGCGTAGAAATAAACTTCACCTACCTCAACATAGGGTGTTCCACCATTTACTTTGGGCGAAAATTGCGTCTATTTTTAACGTGTGGTTGTGGCTTGCGGTTTAATTTAATTTAATTTAATTTTATTTTGTTCAATTTGTTCTTCTTGTTTTGTTTTTTTGTTCTTTTCGATTTCCGTTGTCTTTGTTCCTCCTCATAAGTGAAGCAAGGACGGTGACTCGAAGCGACGTCGTCCCACAAATTGCTTTTGCATCACAAAGCAACATACCCATTAGTCTACGAGTATCCCTCTTTCGCTTTGTCCGTTGAGCGTGACCGTAAATAAACCTCGAGGAAAAAATTCCCGCGCAAAATTCTTTCCTCGAGGATTGCTTTCGCGTCAAGCACGACGGACTAGGCGAAAGAGGAACCACTCTTAGACTAAATCGCCATAAAAACGCCCTGCCATAAGGCAAGATAAATTTACCTTCACATGAACTCATCACGGCAACCATATTGTGCTGAGAATTTCAAATATTCGGTTTTGTGTAATCTTTCCAGGCGTTCGGCTTTTTTGGCGTGATCGCAGTCACGCTCCAACAGGAGGGTCTGAATGGGGGGATCCACATGTCAGTTGTCGGTTAAAATTGTCGACCTTTGTCGGTTGTCGGTAAATCTCAGTTAATAATTAAATATGCAAGTAAATTATTCACATTTGTTATGTAATTTGCGCAGTTTTAAGACTTTAAACTCTAGACGAAGTGTAAAACTTTTATTAATTCATTATTTAATTACGTAACGTGATCGTCTTCCCCACTTTTGTTCACAAACCTAGTATATCGATAAAATCACCAAAGCTTTTATTCTAGATGTGAATTTGTTTTCCTGTCGATTAGGGGGCATAGAAGTAATAGGAGAATCTTTGTGCACAATATTTGCCTCATTACCATAAGCGATACAGTTTCTGATGGAGCTACAAAGAGATTAATACTGAATATTGAAAGGGCACAGCACGATTAACTGTCCCAAGGAATTTGAGCGCGATGTATATATTGAATACTTTTCGTGCGACGCGGGTTTAAAAGCTCAAATTAAATTTTACAAAGAATGTATGAGCTCATTAGCGCTTTTGCCACACAGAAATTTTGATGTTTTTGAAAGCCAATTTCTCCTCGAATATTACACCCAAAGAGCCAAAAATTTCACCACTTACTAAGTTTCACAAGCTCTTTAAGTTTTTCCAGTAAAATCGTGTCTAGCATGATGCCTTCTATACGCAAACTCGTATGTTAGTGAGGAAAATTGTAAACAATGACGTCAGCAAAGATTCGCCTATTCAAGAGAGGTAAATGAGACAGGAGTGAAACGCCCACTCTAGCCCTTGGGGTACGTAATTTTGTTAGCTACGGAAGTCTTTTTATTCCCAAGAAGTCCACAAACACTTATTACACTTATTATTCAACGGTTCCCGTTGCCTTACTGTGCGATTTCTTTGGGTTTTTTGCCAAAAATTTCGCTGCCATTCGTATCAATCTGCACCGTTTAATGGATCTGCAATGATTTTACAACTATTATTACCTCTTACCATCACATGTCGAGACGCACAAATGCACGTACTGCCCTGCTGGGTGGTGAAACACACACTCTGTTGACAAGCTCTAAATGTTCTTCAAAATCTGATTCCTCGTCATTCGAATCTGTTTCATACTCATCAATTTGCACTTCTCTGTGATCCTCAACACCTCAGTAACAACAAATTGTATGCTAACAACGCGTTATGGTACTGCATTCGCTGATGATACATTGTTTTCTTCAGGGAATCGAAGTCTCTCTTCAGACTCGTTGTCAGTGTAATGAACAGGGTAGACAGCTGGCGGCAAGGCCCCAACCTTATCTTTTGTGGTCTCGCTCCTAACCGCCCGTTGGCGCACTGGTCTAAAACTCTCTAGCCACTCTTTGATCTGTCCTTCCATACCTGGCATTATGTCCTCACTTGGTAAAGGTGTCATCGTAGCTGTAGAAAAAAAGGGGCATGGCAGATTGAGGGACCGGATAGTACAATTTGTCAGGCGTGTAGTACTTTGCTGCCCATCTAGATATGTGCTTCAGAGATTCCTTGCAAATTGTTAAAATAGGGCCATTTATACGAGAAAGATAAGCCGCGGATTACACAATCCGTGACCTACATAAGACGCGAACTGAACCATTTATACGAGCGCGGCTTATATAAGACGCGAAGTGCTCGTATAAATTGTTCACGGCTTATTCCTGACTATTGCCTCGCTTTTGTGTTGGTTGTCATAGCAATCGCGGAATTGCGCAAGCTCTCGTGCGAGTGCGGGAAAACCTTGCGCTTGCGCAGTGTAAGTTTGCGTCTTATATAAGCCGCGGATTATTTAGGCTTAGCTCAAAACCGTCGTCTTACACAAGTCGCGGCTTATGTTATCCGCGGCCTGTGTGAGACGTGAACTGGTAAAAATGTACCATTTATAAGGTAAGTTCGCGTCTTATTTAAGCCGCGGCTTATTTTCCTCGTATAAATGGCCCTAATTTCTTTCATCCGATATTAATTTTGAAAGTTCAAGCTGCCACTGCCCATCCGTTACAATTGCAAAATTTCGCATTTGCCCGCAGGTGATTTCGCCAGGCGAAATAACTTTAACGAGAACCCGCCAATTTCACATTAATGCGGCCTTCTCCTTTAGTCCTAAAAACTCCGTAAGATGTGTTTAGCTCAGATACTCCTTCATGAGTTTCTTTGTATTCCGGAATCCGGCTTCGATGGCGTTCGATGGCGACCTTTTCACCTTTTCGGAAAAAAAACTCACGGTGACTTTAACAATCCCACTCATGACCCGAGCCGCTGTTCCCCCAATCTGATGCGATACTCACGGGGAGATTGGAAACTACAACACCTGTTGTAAACACAAAATGGCCGTGGCATTTATCAACCCTTCCTTGGATCCCCGGATCACCGTTTACTGTTCATGCATGTATGTGTGCCAAGAGTTGTCGGAAAGAGTGCTTCTACAAACCTTTCAAGAGGACTCTACATGATTAAACCGGTTTCAAGGAAAACAATGGTTTGTAATACAAAGAACATTGAAGTATGTGATCGTCACGCTCAACACGGAAGAGGAACGTATAAATGTACCTTGTATACAAACCTACAGCTGGAAGGAAAAGCTTTAATG